TAAAAATGTCAAATGCGGAATCGTAATAAAAATTTTGATTAACATCCCTTACACAAAAACCAAAAACGTGCTCAAAATATAAAAGAACAAACTAACTAAAAGAGATACTCGAAAATAAGAACTATAAATGTAACTACAGAGTCTTTAGGCGTCCCCTTCGCCGTCTTCCTGCGGAACGGGCTCGGGAACAATATCTTCCTGATCTGAAATGGTTAAATAAGGAATGAGCTACACCAGTCCAGTAAAGACATCACATTATCTCACCGCTACGGAGGTAAAGGTGGGTAAAAAACATAAAAAGACTAATGGAACATAATTTATAACAAATTCTTTTATCAATAATAAAATCTTTTACTGTCTACTTATCTCGGTGAGATCCCTAAAACAACATATTAAAGCAATAACATTATCATCATCATGAAATCATATGAACTGTATAACATAATACTTACCACGCCTTTACATTTCAATCGTTAAACAACACATTTTCCTCATTTACCAGCCTACTAGTATCCATGGGGATCCATAGGGGTCCCGCTACCCGTGAACCCTTAACATTTATAATCTGATTCCATGGTCGTCCCCATACCCCGTCCGATATGGGCGCCAAAACTATAAACCTCAATACCCCGTCCGGTATGAGGGTGAAACGGGCCGTCCTCGTACCCCGTGCGGTATGAGAGACCACGTTCCCGGTAGGTTTCCCTACGGACCCGATCCGTCCACCATCTCCCAGGATATCTAATCAGGCTGTCCACATTATCCACTTATCAATTCACATAACCTTTTTGCCCATTTTCTTGGTTTCAATCATCCAAACACATACAACATGTAAACCAGTAATGGACACCAAACAAGACAACACAGTATCGGGTTAAGTATAATACCGACCATAATAAAGAAACCATGATTCATGCATACGAGACCATAATATAATTACATTAAACATCATGTTGCATTTAATACTGAAAATTAAATCAAACAATAACAGACCAACCAGTATCAGACTCGGGCTCCATTGGCAACCTTAATCAATTATACATCTATAGAGTCACACAGCACAGTTTAATTATTTATTTAGCTTTAATACCGTGATAGAAAATAGAGTCAGGGGTCCTTACTTGTTTCGGGGTCTGAATACGGCTTTACAGTGCGCCTACAGGCTGTCCCTAATTTTCCCTGAATTTTTTCCGGGAAACTGAAACGCACTACAGGTACCTGCACATGTCCCAAAAAATCCCAAATTAGACCTAGGGCCCCTTTCGGCCAATATCGCAATTCCGGCACGGCGGCTCCGCTATGCTCTGGCGACGGCGCCGCCGCAAGCGGCGGCGATTCGCCTCAGGTTGGCCGTTTTCGACCGAATTCGGCCACACTTGCATCGGTCCCTGCGATAGAGCAACTCTAGGGCCCTCGGTGGGCCGAAAAATCACGAAAAACCGAAACTTACCGGTGGCAGTGCTCTCGGGTGCGGCAGCTCCTCCGGCGTGAGTCGTGTTTTGATGTTTAGCTCCGATCAACCTGTAGAGAAAAGAACGGTCATCACAGTGGTATAAAATTTGCATTAAACGGAGGCCGGAAAGGGCCTCATCGGAGGCAAAAACCGAGGAGGGGCGCGGCGGCGCCGCTGGGTTTCGACCGGATTTTCCAGCCGTTTGGCCGGTGGTTTGGCTCTAGTTTGACCATAGGCGGACTCAGCGTCGAAAAACGAGCAAGAGGGAGAAAATTTACCTCGATCGGCGGTCGGAAACTTCCCCGGTCCGGCGGCGGGTGGCGGCGGCCGGCTCCTCTGGCGTTTGGTTCTTCTTCTCCGGCGAGCACTGGCGGCTAGGGTTTCTTTGGTCAGGTGTGGGTGGAGTTATTTATACCTTTTGCCTTTTAATCTCAACCGTCCATCAAGATTAAATCTGGGCCGTTCGATCGCGATTTAATTGGGATTAAATCTGGACCGTTCATCGCGATGCAATCTGGGCCGTCCGTGCCTAATTGAATCTGGGCCGTCCGTGCGCACATTTAATCTGGACCGTCCGTGTGCGCGGGAATGGATCTGGGCCGTCCGATCGCGCGCACGCGGATCTCCCATGTGGCCCGTTCCCTGGTCAGCGTTGCCTTGCCACGCGACGCGTTCTGGTTGGTCGGGACTGCTGACCGGGCCGCTGACGTGGCTACTGACGTGGTGCTGACGTGGCACAACTTTTCTAAATTACGTTTTGACCCCCGGTTTCCGATTTTCTTTTCAAAAACACCCCCATAATCCAAATTTCCACCCATTTTTCCCAAAATCAATTTCAATTAAATCTAAATAATATTTTTACCCAATTTTATCATTATTATTATTTTTATTTTTATTAAATTAAATTGAATAAAAAATCAAATAAATAAATAAAATTTTTATTTTTATTTGGGTGTTACAGAATGCTACTACCTCTCCTGAGTTTCCACTGAATGCAATCCATGAACTGGTTGCGCCCCAAACTAATTTTCCTCCAAAGACTCGATCCATGAGGACATGCCCAAACGCTACTGTTTCCCCTCCCAGTCAACAGGCCCCATCTCGCCTCAAATGACCTACACCACAGCCTACCCTCCCCAATAAGTATCTCCATAGCCACTTCCCCTATAAGACCCTATTCATGTCCACCAGTGATCTAAGTCCCAGGCCACCCCTACTAATCGGTATCTTCACCTCGTCACACTTGACTAAATGGTATTTTCTACTTCTCTCATCAGTCCCCCAAAGAAACCAACGTTCAATATTCTCCAATTTCTTAGCAATACTTACAAAAATAGTCAAAGCCAACTAAAAATAAATTGGAAGATTGGCAAGGGTGCTTTTGATGAGATTTTGTCTCCCACTCTTAGAAAGAAATTCATTTTCCATCCTGCAAGTCTCCTTTCAAATAAATCCCCCTCGTCTCAAACTTTTGGATGCCCTGAAAAATGAAGACAGCCCACCATTCACCATCAATTGTTCTTGCAATAGGCTTTTGTTGTTTGATTTATACTTTCTAAAACTTGGAGTCTTTCCATGTTTCATTGGCCTCCACAAACACAACCTTTCAAGTTTTAGCCTCAAACACTCATTTTTTCTGTCTGATCCTATTACCACATTGTTGGTCTCCTATAAAAACTTATTATAGCCTCCAACAACAAGCAACGTAGCGCCTTTTTGATGCATCAAAAACAGAAGCCAAGACCAAGATATTTTTAGTTGTATGAGATTATTTTAAGTTTTCATTTATACAAATATGTTTGTGCATCAAGCATGTACAATCATTCAACTGAAAGTAAGGCTTGAATAATAATATTGAAAATATGGTACCACTTTGAACATAACTCTTTTGTTTGTTTCTAACCCACACCATTTTTTCACTAATTTTCTAAATCCCATTTTTATATTCAACAACTATAGATATGTTCCTGAACATCCGTGAATGTAGAAAATAAAAACTCAACACAGTTTTTTATAACTAGATAAGGCACTAATTTTTTTTACAACATATTGACCAGTATAATTGACCTCCAACAAATTGGAAAGGCATAGGACTCATACAAAAGCTAAAATATTCAATGCAAATAATTTGCAACTTAACCAGCAGAATAAGGAAAATTAAGGAAAAAGATACAGACTGGTGAAGAGTCTGAAGATAGGGAATAAAGCAGCTCTTGACCATCTATATAGAGCCACATTCCTCTAACAATCAACTACGTGAACCTTCAATAATTTTCCAAGACTGAAAATCAAACAGGAAACAACAGTACAACCTCTCTATGGCCTTGATGAAAAATGAGCTGGGTTTAGATTGAGAATAGATTAGAAATTATGATTCTTTTAAATATAAAATTATTGTACTACTTAGGTATTATGTGTAGATTTTTACATCCAAATCCTTGAGAAGGCAAATTAATCAATACAGCTTCCAGCCTCTTTCGAAGTGGGAAATTTGGATTGCCATCCCTTCAAACGTCTAGAGATGAGAAATACTATAAACTTCAGAGAGTATCATCCAAAATAAATGCCTGTTAGCATCACCATTGCAATCATCAATAAAACAATTCTCGAGTCACTCCTCGCCCACAAACTAAGTAATCTACAACAATTTACAATACCAAGCAAAAAACAAATATGAATTTGTACAAATCACAAACCCTATATAGTTGTTAGGAACAGAAGGCCAAAAATATGCCTTAATCGTAAATGGTAAAAGGCCATAAGTAGAAGTTTAGCTACCAGAGGCCAATCGTTCCCCTCTGGTAATCCCATACATCATACATCTATTTTGAACCAAGATTGTTACAAAGTATACCATAAAATTTAACTATCAGAATTAAAAGGAAGAATCTGCCATTTTTTAACCATCAACAACAATCAACAATTAACTTTTGAAACACATAGAAGTAACAGACAGTGTAAAATGGTCTATCATGAAAAACACCCAGGCTCCGAAATAATTTTCAATAGCTTTTTGTCTCTCTAGATTTGCTCACTTAGTGGTCCTTATAATATGGTGCACTGAGCTTAGGACAAAAGTCCTGGAGATCCATAAATTCCTCACTGAAGACAAAGACATCCTGTATTAGGAACCTAAACTATGCATAGATGTTAAAGCATAAATAGAAGACTGTTTCTTATGCATAGGACAAGCATGTGAGAAAGATTATGATTCTATAATAGAACGGCTGTCCAGTTTCAAGTGTCAAAATTCCACAAAAAGTTGGAAGATTACAATATAACCAATAATAAAATCAAGGAAAGTTGTATCCTATAAAACCAAACAAAGTAACATGGCAGGAAATAATAAATTAAATTAAAGGACATGAATAAATACATGCAGCCCTGTCCATATCATGAAAGCCAGGTGTAGTTTCCTTTTTCCTATTTAAACTTTTTCCCTTCCCAGAAATGTTCCAAAAGCCATAAACAAGATTTCACTATTTACTAAGTCAAAACGATTAAAAGAATACAAACCAACCATTGAACCCGCCATCGCGTTTCACGCTTTTCAATCACACGAAGGCAAGCACGCAATGCCTCCACAGCCCGTTCTCGAACTTGCAATTGTGGATCCCTCAATGCCACCCAGATAGCATCGACAAATTCAGGTACATGAACATTAAACACTGTGGAAGCATTTTCTGCCATTTCCTACAGTAACAACAAAACTATTCTAATTAAACAACTGTCCTCATTGCAATGTACCAGAAGTTTTTGGGGGCAAAAAGTCCAAATCTGAAATAGAAGTTCAACATGAAAAAGATAAAGTTCCCAAGAATTATGGAATGAAACTCATCATTTCTGGACTGGCAAATGCTCAGCGGGACTAAAAATTACTCCAATCTCTTTGTCTTTCCCATTTCAGTTAATTGGATCATAAGGTATTGTCTTACACCCAAAAAGGGTGTCTACTAATCTAATGATCTCGAAGCATGGGTAAGACATAGCAGATGGAAGCAAAGCAATTTGAAGCATTACCTTCAAAATCAAGACAGCAGCAAATCGGCGATATTCCACTCTATCCCCACGAAGCCAGTCCAGTGCCACTTTAACCTTAGCAACAACAAGAACAAAATCTCAGCTACAACAATCAAATGAGAACGCCAAAAGCTAATGAAGCCACCCAAACAAACCTGAAACTCCACTTCGTCTGCAGTCATTGCACCACCTGCCCGAGCCAAATGGCCCAGAACTTTACTAGCAAGCACCAAAATTTCAGGATCACGCTTCACATCAAACACAGTCCTCATATAATTTGAAAACTTTGAAACTTTTGTTGCATTCTCCCCTAATGCTACATCTATCAACTCGTCAATGGCTCTCAAAGCCCCCATATTTTCTGCAACATCATTGCTTTCTAGTAAAGTGGAAATTCTGTCGTATAATTGATCCATGAACCGAGAGAACCCTTCCCCGCTAAGATCACGAGCTTCTTCCTCCAAATGTTTCTTTAAGGCTAATGAGGCTCCTTCCTGATTACAATAAATTATATTCATAAATGCAGAGAAGGAAATATAAAACATTCCAATAAAAGATGACAGAACTTCAAATTTATATTAACTCCAAATGTTCCATTCATTGGCAAATTAAATCTTTACTTAGTGTAAATATAGTCAACTAAACCACAAAACTGCGCGTAATTAGTTTTGCCTACTGTTTCCATAGAAACAAACAGGAAAAATGAAAAAAGAAACGATCCCTCACCTTGGGGTTGCCACGAGTGCAGAGGTCAGCAAGGATCCGATTGAGAGCGTCGAAGCTGCCGCCTCCAGGGCCAGACGATGAGGGGCCACAGAAGCGGACGGACTGCGACGTGGAGGCCATTAATTGGCTCTACTCCCAAACCCTAAACCCTAATATCTCTCCTCCCTCTGTACTTATGGCTTCAATAACTCACAGAAATATGATCTCTGCCTTTTCAAGGCATCGAATTAGGACGTAAATGTAATAGCTACGGAATGAAAAGAGGGAAATTCTTCAGAGATATGCAATGGAAACCCAACGAGTGCGCCTTGATAAGCATATGCTTCTCTTTTCTCCTCTCACTGGCTCAGTTTCAACAAGCTCCTGACTCCAGAGCCCTTCCTTGTCCAAATTTGGGCTGCCTCGTGCTCTCGAGGTATTCGAGAAGCTCTACGCGTGTTAAAATTAAATAAATAAAATATATCCGGTAAAATTACGGTGAATAAATTAAATTTTATGAATTCATTATATTTTTAAATAAACATATATTTTAAAAAAATTAAATTCTCTTTAACTTAATTTGATATAATATATCTAAATTTTAATATAACTTTTTAAATAAAAAAGTATACAAAAAATAATAATAATTTCAAAACAACAAAATTGTTGAGTGTAAACAAAACAATCAAAAGAAAAAATGCTTTAAATTTGAAATAATTAAAAATCACTACATTATTTATTATATCTCTTATAATTTATTTTATTATAGTATTAATAGAAGATATAACTAATGCTAGAAAATACAGAATGTAGCCAACTAGTTTTTTTTTAACTTTTATTTTAAGTAATAATTTGATACAATTTAGAAAATATTACGATATAACTACGAAAAGATTAATATAACATGTTATAAAATAGATGGTAAGAAATAAATAATATGATAAAATAAATATTTTTATATTTAAAAAAAATTATGATAATTTTGTATAACATGGAAAATAAAATTTGGCAAAGAAATAAAAGACAATGCGTATTAGAGAATAGAACAAACAAATATAATCAGTGATAATGAGTCAATCAAAAACAAAGTAATCATGAAATGTTCCAATGGATTCTGAGTTAACAATATAATTAAATTTGAAAAAAAAAATGATTCAATCTAGAAGTTCATAAAATTTAGATTACAATCATTAGGAATCGAAAGCTAAACTATGTGAGCAGAAGCTGGACTGTGAGTTTATGGAACAAACAATATAATCAGTGATAATGAGTCAATCAAAAACAAAGTAGTCATGAAATGTTCCAATGGATTCTGAGTTAACAATATAATTAAATTTGAAAAAAAAAATGCTTCAATCTAGGAGTTCATAAAATTTATATTATAATCACTAGTAATCGGAAGCTAGACTATGTGAGCAGAAGCTGGACTGTAAGTTTATGGAACAAACAATATAGTCAGTGATAATGAGCCCATCAAAAACAAAGTAGTCATGAAATACTCCAATAAATTTTGAGTTAACAATATAATTAAATTTGAGAAAAAAAAATACTTCAATTTAGGAGTTCATAAAATTCAGATTACAATCACTAGGAATCGGAAGCTAAACTATGTGAGCAGAAGCTGTATTGTGAGTTTATAGAACAAATAATATAATCAGTGATGATGAGCCCATCAAAAACAAAAGTAGTCATGAAATGCTCCAATGGATTATAAGTTAACAATATAATTAAATTTGAAAAAAAAAATGCTTCAATCTAAGAGTTCATAAAATTTAGATTACAATCAATAGAAATCGGAAGCTAGACTATGTGAGCAGAAGTTGGACTGTGAGTTCATAAATTCATATTACAATCACTGGTAATCGGAAGCAAAGACTATGTGAGCAGAGGTTTACGCACACTGGAAATTCCACAGCAGTGTAATGGAAATCATATATAAACAAACATGAATTGCTCCAACAAGTTCCAGTTAACAATAGAATTAAATTTGTAGAAGTGCTCCAATTCCGGAACTTACAGATTCATATTACAATCACTACCAGTCAAGCTAAACAGAAAGAAACATGCAAAAAAATCCTCCAATGAGTTCAAGTTAACAATAGAATTAAATTTGTAGAAATGTTCACTAAATCCAGCTGGGTTATGTCAGCAGAAACTACATGGTTTATTTACACTGGAAATTGCACATCTGTGCAACGGAAAACATGTGTATAAAACCGGGTCTGCTCGAACATCTATCTCGAGGATGTGACTTGTTTTCTGCTGAGTCTGCTCGAACGCCTAACCGGGGTAGTAGCCTCTCCCTGTCCCTAAACAAAACCAAAGCCAGCACAAAGATACATATATAAACAACTTTCTATCTTTTGTTAATGCATGCAGAATTTTTAAGTAGGCAAAATTTAATTACTTACAGATTTGATGGCTATCTTCTCATAAGTAGTGAAACTTCCATAAGAAGGTGAACCAGTAGAGAAGTCTGATGAAGCAAGAGATTCTCTTTTATGGTTCCTCCTGCTGGACTGCCTTTCTTGGCTCTCTGCCTCACTGGACTCTTTCTGGCTGCAAAATGAGCTCTGATAACTGCTCATACCTGAGGGACATGACTCTCCAAGCATGTCAACCTCAGTTGGCCAATTCAACGAAGAGAATCTTTCCTGGATCAATTGCTCAGCGGTCATTGATGTTGTGTTGCAATCAACTTTCGTAGTCACTGCAGCGCTTGGTATTGATGCTTTACTTTTCTTTCCAGACATGAAAGCTATGGCTGCAATTAGACTCAGCACAAGCAAGGAAATGGGCAACACATAATGCATTGATTTCAATTCATTCTCTGACCGTTTTGTTGCAGAATCCATTGTTTCTGCACCTTGTGAATTCTCATCAGCCACATCAAAAACAAAGATTTCTGGATCGTTATTAACTCCTGTGGACTCAGCTTCTGTAATAAAATTCATTTTATTTTCAATTTCAGGTTTGCCAGCTTCTGATGGTTCCAGTTGAAGTGGTTGCTCGCTGAGTTCCATGACACGTACCTGCTCACTATCTGCGAGAGCAGTAAATTCTCTAGCTTCAAAATCACTTTCTGGTTCGGCATTACTATTAAAATTCTTCTCTCCCTCTGAACTATCAGGCTTGATTACTTCAGTTTCAACCATGATACTTAGTTGCTCATTGTTTGTGTGAGCATCAGATTGTTTAGCATCTACATCAACTTCAGCAACAACGCAAGCCCACTCAACTCTCTCCAATTTCTTCTCATCCTCTGAACTATCAAATTCAAACATCATCTCAGATTGTTTTGCTTCTCTTTCCACCAGTCTCTTGTCAACCTCAGAGCTATCACCATTTTCAATCACCTCAGCCCCAATATCTTGCTGATTTTCTTCATGCTTTGAAGAGTCATGATGTTCTTCACAAACAACTTCACTGTTGCCTTCTGCTTCAAATCCTAGGTCATGATTCATTCCCTCATCAACTTCGTCTATTGTCTCGTCAGCTTCAATTAAAGGACGACTCTTATCGTCCACTACTTCATTGTCGACCTTTCTCTCCCTCAAAGGCTTCAGAAGGCCGAGATCAAATTTTCGGTGAGGAAATCCATCAATGGAACAATCCTTCAGGAAACCTGTTAAATTGGCATACTGTAAAGGAGCCAGTTCATGTACTCCACCTAACCTGGAAACCAGTTTATAAATATGAGAGAGACAATTAGCTGACCACAGCCTAAACTTCTGAGATAGCTCATAGAAACTGGCTTTTGCAAAGTTCGTGGCTTCTGGTGGAACATAGAACTCATAGAGGGTTAAATCTCTTAGCAATGGCTGAACTACTGGAGAATCAGTAACTGAGAGGGAGAACCAACCAACCACCATGATCAAAACCAAAGCAATGAACTTTGATCTTGTAAATAACCGGGGTTTAGACAACACAGCTTTTGCTTCAACACCCTGAAGAAGCATGTCAGCATTGCTCATGGAGTCTGGTTCAGATGTTTCAGAAGAAACATCCTCTGATTGCTTTAGTGAATCCTCAGACTGAGTTTCCTCCTCTCCAGTAACTTCAGTATCAGAAGAGCTTTCAAATGCAAAATTCTCCTCAAGCCGACTCCCTTCTCTTTTGCTGTCAAGATAAAGCATGATTCTTGGGTTTGGCCTGTAATTGAGGAACTGAGGCCTTGGTGAAAGGTAATTTGTTTTAGGATCGTAGGGAGGCATCTTTGGATCTGCATCAAGGGGTGCCACCATAGAACTTGAATAAGAAGCTGAAGGACCAGGACTGATCTTAAAGCTTGGATCAGCATCATCAGATTCTGCTACTGAATCTTCTTGTTGAGAGGTTTGAAAAACCAGAAGTTCATCCTCCATGACAGCAGCTTCGTTGATCTTCATGGTTTCTGCTGCTGAGTCATGTTGATCTTTCTGGGAAACGGCTTCGTCGTTCTTCATGGTCTCTTTGAAGTCCATATCCATGATCGTCTGCTCATGCGAATCCATCTCCACCAGCTTCTTCTGAATCTTGTTATCCTCCATGATTATGGTGGTAACATCAGAGAAGGAAACGGAATGTCGAACTGGTGCATCGTTTCTCTCGGATAAAATTTTCTTTCTCGGTGATGCATTCATCTTTGATGCAGCAGAGATTGTAGGCGACATGAAGTTCTTACTACCCTTGGGAGCAGCTGGTGATCGAACTCTTGCCGCTTTTAGATTTGCGTCCTTCCCGTTCTCCTTGTCTTCGAGATCGCAAAAAGAAGACGAACTTTCTCTGCCCATTGAGTGTCTCCGATGAAATTCTGCGTTTCATCACGGAAGGAAATCAACATCAGAACCTTGAAACAGATAATGCAAAAGAAAGAAAATGCTTTCGGTAACTGTTATTGTTGCTTGTTGTACAGATTTCCTGTTTGTTTCAAACGAAAATATTTCTTAGAAAATTTCGTCAGAGAAAATTAAAGATTATAGATCTTTAAATAAAAATGATTCTTTCTCAACCCTGAATGTTTAACGGGAGGCATGGACAACATTTACCGATTCACTGAACTAAACATTCACCATAGAACTTGTACTCGGACAGTTTTCCCTTAGATTTTCTGGGGAAACAAACAACATATGGAAAAACTATCCCTCAACTAACTCTCAACGAAAGATTCCAGTTATATCCATTTTAATTAACTCGACTCCCTTTGAATTCTTAGGAACCCAGATAATAAAAACAGACACAAAATTTCTTCAACAATTTTACGAATTCATTTATTTCTTTCCGTTTCCACGCTTCGATTATCAAACTAATAGTCGAAAAATAGGAAAATAAAACGAAAACAAAAACAATAGGGTTGCAAGAAGAGCAAACCTGAAGGACTATTAGCAGGTGTGTTAATACTGTTAAACCCTCTAGCAGTAGGGACAACCGAAGGCTTAGCAAACGGGTTTCCACTGAAACTCCTCCTGATGGGGTTTCCGATCTCCGAGTTTCTTGCACTATGATTTTGTCTGCTTGGTATCTGCGAACCAGCCTTGTTTGGGAGCGCGGCAGCCATTAATTTGGATTAAAATCAATTTTGCGATCGGCAGAAACAAACCAAGAAATTGAAAAAGAAGAAGAACGCAAACGGGTGAGTCAATTCGAATTTGATTTTGAGAATGGGAAATTAAAAAGAAATAGTAAGTGAGTAATTGAATGTTTGGAATCGTGGAAGATTTTGAGAGAGAGAGAGAGAGAGAGAGAGAGAGAGAGGGAGGGAGAGATCGAGGCGTAACGGCTAGTTGTCTATTGATGATGGTTTTGGAGATTTAAATTATGGGGGAGAGTTTCTGACCGTTGGAACAAACCAGATCTGAAAAGTCAACTGATTGGAGGGATAACGAGAGCCGTTGGATTATAGTTCATGTAGCCGTTGAGAGGATCTTTGCTTTTAGGGTTTAGAAGCAATTGATTTAAAAAAATAAAGGATAGGAATAGTAAATTAAGCATGAACTTCTAAAATTTTTAAGTATTAATCTTAGTATTTTTCTGAAAAAAAAATATATTATTTTGTCCAATATTTAATTATCCACAACTATTCAATTTTTATATATTTTAATAAATAAAGATATTTATAAACACATATAAATTTATAAAATTAAAATATAAAAAAATATTTTCAATATAAATAATAAATTTGGTCTTCTTTAATCTAGTAATTTCAAATATATATATATAGTAAAAAGAAGAGAATTAACAAAATAAAAAATATTATTTGCTCGTACCATTTAAAAAATATTATCATAATAATAAATCTAAAATTTTTTTTAAGTAAAAATACATAAATTTATTAATAAAATAATATATATAAATATATCAATTACAACACAATTTTTTAATAAAAATATATGAAAATACATAATCCAACTTAAATTCATAATTTCTTGTAAAATGAAAAAATATATATATATTGTTTTTATATTCGAGTTAAACCGAATAAGATAACATAAACTAAGTTTGGTGAACATATTATGCTCAACCCTACCCAGCCCGTTTATTTTCATATGATAATAATATATATTATATTCATAATTTTCGAATAAAAATATATGAAAATATATAATCCGATTAAAATCAATAACTTTTATAAAATGAGAAGAATATTTTACTCATACTCGAGATAGATAGAGTAAGATTGCATTAACTGGGTTCGGCCGATGACTCAACCCAACCCAGCCCGTTTATTACTAGATTACAAGAATATTTATTAGACCCGTAATTTTTAACGAAAACATATGAAAATACATACTTTGAGTCAAATCTATAACGATTTATAAAATGAGAAAAAATATTATGTTCATACTCCGAGTTAGACCAAGTAAAACTGCTTAACCTAATCCAGCCCATTTATTATCATATTACAAGAATATATACCTGAGCTGATCCATCCCTGACCCAAGCTTAAAATATAAAAAATTTATAGAGCAATAGTGAGATTAGTGCCAACAGGAGAACAATTAAGGCTTAAATTTTCTTTGAAACAGTATCAAATGTGAATGTGATATCTATATTTCATCAAACATCCCCTACACCCGCACCCCTCTCTGTACACTGAATTGGATTCACCAATACAGTCATATCAGCAGTTAAACTAACAGAAGCTAAAAAAGAAAACTGAAAAAATGCAGAAACTAATCCCAACTGCTGCTGCCTGATAATCTGACTGCTCTTCAATTTGCAAGGGGAGCTACACCAAAAAGGTATTTGGATACGCGATGTATATGTTTACTTCAACAACTATGCTCCATGTCTTTTCTTATACTTCTCTGTGCTAAGCTCAGAAAGAAATCTGTGAAAATGTGCTCGTAATCTGGCATCTTCCCGAACCCTGCAATGTTCAACCGCCAGATTACCAGCAGCTAGGCAACTAGAAACAGATCGTAAAGGCTGATAACCATGAATAATTCAAAACATGGCAAAGAGAGAATGAGATAAACTGGGCAGCCTCGTAGGAGATGAAATAGAAGTAGGAACTAGGGGTTAAAAGTAAACAGGTTTCACTTACCAGGAAAGTAGTTAATGTCAATGACATAAAAGACATCTCTCGATCCATACTCCCGAATCACATCTATGTTGAACAATCTGAGACCCTAAGAATTGCAAGCATAAATAACGTCAGGGTGGCCTTTAACCTGAAACCAATTACTTAGCTCCTGCTACAGTAGGAACAAAAAAGGCACACAAGTTTTACCAGCCGGTGACGAAGCTCCCTTGTAAGCCTCTCTAGCAAAGGCCATGGAGGAAGTTCTGCAGCCATAATGTTACATTAGTACAAAGGATAGGAAGCTGAAAGAAATAAGACTAAAAGATTGAAAGAGCTCTCTTTGTCAGAGAATTATTTTATACAACGGATATACGCTAACAAAGGGATAAATATAATTATAATACAAATTAATCGTTTTAACTAATATGATATTTCCTTTCAATTACTGGTAATCTCATAGAAGAATCCATGAATTTTACGGGTCAAATCAGGTTTTTCTTCCAGTAATAATAGAAGGTATGCTACATACCTATGTGTCCATTACACACAATAATTATCTCCTTGTGAGCCAACCAACTTTAAACAATTTTATACATTTGGGAAAAACTCCTTTAATAAAGACATTGAAGCACCAAGATAATACTTTAGCCAGGAAAACGTAAAGAAGAAAAAGCTCTCACACCAACAAACCCACAATTTTTTAAACCTTAAATCATTCAGACTGTCTATTAATTGATAGTAATATAGGTCAACCATCTCACCAGCAATGCCAGGTTCCAGGTCTGCATCATCTGCAGAAGCTGCAGCAGATGAAACCCTTGGAAAACGGAACACACCAGCAACTTTTGCTAGTTCACAATTACTAACATTTGGTAGAGAAAATCGCCTTACAACCTTCATAGTTTCCCCAATAACATAAATTTTAAAGAGAACACCACCTACAAAGAGATAGGTAGAACATAAGTACTTCAAAAAATTACACACTGAAATATTGATTAAGTAGCAGCAAAAGTAAATACCATGATTGACAAACTCTTGAAGAAGCAGAGGAGGTTCAAGTTCTGAGAGTGAGACATGATCATAAGCAAGAAATAATTGATGAGATTTTGTAGTGCCATCCACCACCAGTGGTTTTGCAACTGGAAAATAAAAATGAAGGTTAAAAATCATGTAAATTTAACCAAAACCTCAACAAACAACAGAAGAAACTACAATTTCCAAAAGAAAAGTTATTGAATCTATTCATGACACTGTGACAGAACATGTAAGACCGACAAAGAAAAGATCCAAAGAAGCAAATCAGACTTCAGAATCCAGAAGAAGTCCTATAAGCCCTGCCACCTGTTTATGTCTAGAAAAACCAAATATTTTCTGGTTGTGACATACACAACTTTCATAACTATTTACAGACCAAGTAGGTCAAACCAGAGGGATATTAAGAATATAAATATAATTTTTTTGCATATGCACCATTGGAAGGGAAGCTCTTAGGGCGAGTTGATCCTGAATATCAACCTTCAAAAGGGATAAGTACACTATTGACCCAAGGCTCAGATATAAGTATGAGGGGGAATATAACTATAAGATAAAAAGTTTCCAAAAAAGTCATACCTAGTGGCATTTTTAAACCGGCTCTGGTGACTTCATCAGGAATTGATAATGGATCTTTCATGACAACCATTTGCTTTGGAACCCGAATGTTGCCTAAATGGACAGTCAACTCAAAAATTACTAAACAGGAATTCTTCCCCTAATAGCTACATTTTTCTTGCAAGAACTCAAGATAGGCAGCCGTATGCAAATAGCCCTTAAATTTTAGGAAATAATACACAATTTACCATGGAAATCTGACAAGTTCATGTCTGCCACTTCTTGCAACATAGACTGGCGATTATGTAGATGCTTTATTGCATATGGTGGATCTAGAACAGTTACTTCAGGATGTTTTTGTTGGTAATCCTTCAAGACAAATAAATAGAAGTGTAAACGTGAGCCTTATTGTCCTTCAACATAATTTTGATTATAGAAAAAAAATGAAGTGTAAAACATGTAGTAGCCGACAAGAAAATATTTAACATCACTGAATACTGGATGTTACTGAAACTATTGAAACTTCTGCTGCTGCTGTTCTGCATAACAAGAGCAGGATGTCTCAACTACAAAAATTCTCTCTTCAAGGCCCCTAGATTTTTCTTTTTTTGTAGAATCCTTAATGACTGTTGTCCAGTTGGCAGGAATTCTCAAGTCAAATGGAAGGATTGTCAAAGGGTGCTAAAAGGAATTACAGGTTTATCCAAGAAACTTGATCACTGAAAGAAAGTAGAAGATGAAAGATTACAGTTTCTTGGGCATCACAAACTCAATCACACACAAGAATTAACTCACAATCAGTATATTAGCTATTTAAACACAAAGAGGTGCATGACCAATGTGAAATGAAGATGTTATCAGGTATAGGGTTTTCATTGAGAAAAGGCAAGTTGCAAGAGATAAGCGGGTTGCCCTTTCTTTCATTTGAATAATATTAACTCTTTTCCCAGTTTGTCACTTTCTTCTAAAAAAATGTTCCACTAGAAAATTAAAAACAAGGTTAGTTTTTATTAATGAGCACAATGAACCGACTGGAGACTACTTAATCAATCGTATAGCTTCTTTCAGGTTTTGTTTAGCACAGTCAATGTTTGTGCAATGAGTTGTTAAAAGTGTTTTGAAAAAAAATTTCAACAAAAATAACTTTAAAGGAAAGCAGAAATCTAGTTGATTAAGACAGAGAACCATCAACTGGATTTCTGCAACATGTCAATTTAGAAGTGAATCTAATGCACTTTTAAAGATCATAAACCACACTTTGGCTGCGTAGTAGCGTGCTTGAACCATATGACTAAGGGGAGAGAGGTACATCTTCTGGAAAGAAAAATGTATTTATATATAAATACATACATGTTTATGGTTCTTCAAAACAAAAAGGAACATCAAGAAGAAAAACTGTTGGTGGAAGATATATCACCAAAGCTAGTAGACATTTAACAGAGCCTAAAGCACATACCAAGATATCAGCAAAGAAAAAAGGTCCACCCAAATTAAACCTCAAACCCTTTTTTTTTTTTTCAAACAGCATGTGTTGAGAAAATAACTTTATCCTTTTCTTTCTCGGTGGGAGGAGAAGGTTATGGAAGACAATACACCAAAACATACATGCTGTCAGATAGAAAGACTTACATGAACCGAAAAAATGACATTTTGTTAGCAGCTACAGACATGGATTTTGAAAATTTTGATGCACTAGACCAAGTTTTGTTTTTTCTTATGAACCAATGCACTGAACCAAGTAGGTCAGGAATATATTTGCTAAAAATAAAAGAATCAAAATTAACACAAATCCACACGACATTCCAAATGCTTTCTTTGCCAATAGGTAGGACAATATTGCCGAGGAATTTAGGATACCAAGTTAAACTATGAAGGTTACGCATAAATACATGGAGAAATAAAGTTTGGCCCCTAACCAAAGCCAACCAAACCATCTTTTCCAGTAAAGTTACTAAACCCTAAACAACTTTGTAAAATCTGCAAGAAACCTTTATTCAGCTACATTCACCAAGACCAGAGCAACTTGTCTAGATTAGTCATGAAAAGTTTATTTAAATTCTTAAGGGAACTGATTTTAACTATCTAATCATGACTCATGGTGATGAGGAATGAGAGAATAACAACTGCAAATCATATTAGATAATGAACAACTTTACAGTTCAGGAAATTTTGTTCTTCAACTTCAACCAATCACCTTTGCTCATACTTAACCTCCAACATAAACACAATTCCATTTCTCATTTTATATGGTAAGCTGTATATCAAGAAGCATTCTTCTCCTCATACAATAGACAAAAGAAATGAAAGAAGAGTAAAGCTCGAACAGACAAACCTCAAGAAGTCTACACCATTCTTTTCCTGACAACTGGGAAATAAAAAAGGATACAACTCATCAGAACCCAAAACTAACCATATGTTTCTACATATGGGAGTTAAATACTAATACTAAAGTATGCTTTTGGAATATTAAGAAAATAAAAAATATGAGAATGTCTTGGAGAAGAAATATGCATTAACCTTATGCAAAACGACATCAAAAGGGCCTTGATCTGCAAGTGGCCTATTTATATCAATGGCAACAAAAAGTATTCCTTTTTTTCTGCAATAAATAATAAAATAGTTAGTTGATCATCATTCGAATGTCCAAGGAGGAAGGAGCATTGTGGATCCTCAATATACCTCGTAGACCCAACAAATATTTTGACGAATATTTAGTAATGTCTAAATAAATCACTAACTCAAATAAACTAAAGAAAGCACCTAACATCAAATTTCCACAACTTCTTCAACTGACTATATTCCCAGGTCAGCAGTGAGAAACTAGATTTTCCTACCAACAGTAACCGATCTTGTTCAAGAAGATGGATGTACTCCGGTAAAGTAGCGCATATCATGCACTAGAATGTATTTCGGCAATAATGAAATACCAGCTCATGTTGCATAGTTTCATAATGATGTAGGAAAATGAAAATTTTTGTCACGTGAAATCGACAAGTTATGAGTAATAATTCATCCCTTTAATGCCTAATTGAATATAGGAACGTACATAAAGCTTATGAAAGAAACAAACTTAAATAGATTTTTTTCAAAAAGTGTTGTAAGTAACCCCCTTGTCAGATATAAAGAAAAAATAGTTTCAATTTTCTACAACAGGAACCAAAAAAGAAAAAGGCTACAGGCTTTGACTTTAGGTTCTTCACTGGAGAATTACTGGATGGCATATAGATGGAATATTCCCACTTAATAATTTTGAAAGATTCCATATACTAAGAATCAAAGCACATAAGATAAGTCAAGCAAACAGTTGCCAAGAACAAATCTTGAAAGTGATTCTAGATACGGTATACTACACCACTATGGACAAAGACATAAACCCTCTCCCAACTGCAAAAGCAGCTTTTTCAATAGATACATAGAGAACCAAACAGAGCATACAAACAAGACCAAATCTTTAGCAACCATTTTAAGAATAACCAATAGCAACAAAAGATTTCCCCTTTTTATAACCAGATGAAAATAACTCAGAAACTTCTAAAAAGATACGTAAAATTTTGATAAAAGGACAAACCACCACATAAACAATCATTCTGCAAATTTTGAATTGATAATGAAAGAAAACTATATGGTTGGATAACCAAGAGTTATTAAGACTGACCAATTCCACAGAAATCCGCAGACGGAAATTTGATGAACAGCAATGTTATGTGTAGATAGAGACAATATAATAAAAGATTGAATTGGGGCTACTTATGTATATATACCGGGCTAATCCTTCGAGCGTAGGTTGCATGAAACTCTTCTTCTTCTTCGATGTCAAAGCGTACCCAACGATCAGCTCTTGCTGCAACGGAGAGCCGACACTATCAGCAGAAGACTGTATGTTGAGTTCAGCGTCTCTCCCTTTCTCCTCTTCGTCTTTCTCTTTATTACCCATTTCTCCGATTACTCTCATCCTCACCTCTTCAAGTTCACAGAAGAAAAAAGAAAAAACCCTCAATCCACTAATCAATTCAAATCCTATTCTCCTCTTCTTGATTCTGTTTCCTTTAGTTTTCCAAAAGTTAATCCTCTCTGAATTCTTGAAATGGAAATGTTAATCTCAAACAAGAAAAAGAAGAAATAATCATCCAAGATCTCCTCTCCCCACTCTTCCCTCAATCTTTACAACATACGTGTTTCTCCAACTTCTCTCTCTAAATGATACCAGTGAAAACGGAAGAGACAGTGAGTACAAATATATGTACGCACACACACATATGTATACATACACTACGAGATTGAAAGAGAGATAGAGAGAATCGGTACCCAATTTGCAGAAGAGAAGCGAAAAAAAAAAAAAAAAAAAAGAGATTTTTGAAGAGGGTGTTTGTTTGAGAAGGAATAAGAATATGAATATATATATATATACACACACACCCACACACTCCAGATTTCTGTGTAAGTCTACCAATTGCAGCGAGTAGTAGAATTTCTTTTTAATCTTCCCTCTATTTTCACCTTTTACTTTTACTTTTGCTTTTACCATTTTACCCCTCTCCCATTTTTTTTTAATATTTAATAAATTAATTATTATTGGGATTAGGCTTACTAGATGATTAGTTGGATTTTTTTGGACAATAAATAAAATATGATAATCTCCTGACTCAAATTTACCGTATGGTACATACTTTTTTTTTTTTTTTTTTAATTGGACATTTATAATCTTTAGCAATGATTAAAGTTCCTAAATATCTATGAGATGAAAATTAGTGTTTAAAAAAAATTAAAGTTAAAAATTAAAGTAAAATTAATTATGTTTCGAGTAAATTTATATATTTTATATATGTTATTATTATGAAATTAATTATATTATTGGTATAAAATAGTATCAATTAATTAATTATTATAATATATAAATTTTTATTAAAGAATCACAGTTATTGAGCATTATGCATTTTTTTATCCTCTTTGAACACTTTATAACTTTTGTTTGGTTCAACAATAAAGTATTATTCACAACTAACATACAACATTATACATACAAAGTGACAAAATATCATCAACCATACTATAAGACATTGTTTGTTTCACCATTAACCCAATTTATTCTTCCAATATATATATATATATACACGCACACACACATATATATACACACATATAGAGACTGTTTCTCCATCAACCCAATTTCTTCTTCCAATATATCCTCCATGTATGTGTATATATATATATATATATATATATATATAATGTCTATTTCTCCATCAACCCAATTTTTTTTTCCCCAACATACCCTCCATATATATACATATATATATATATATGTAGTGGAAGTTTGTATGGGACAAATTGACTCCAAGGCATATAATTTAACGAGCTAAGCTATGTTAATTTATTATTTTTATTATATAAATAATAAATGTCTCAATGACTTACAATTTAGACTATTGTTGACCTTTGACTAAATTTTTTTTCTCTTGAAATTTTCAACAAACAATACAAATTTTTCCAAGTCTTCGTTGATCCCACATAAGAAAAATAATGAAATTAAATAATTTTAAAATTTTCTTTTTAAAAAAACATAATTTATTTGTAATTTGTGTATTTTATTCTATAAATAAAAATATAAACAAACACATCTTTCAAAAATAAAATTAGATAATATTTTTATATGTAGTAAATGGAGTCTAATTTTTTGTTATTTAAATTATTTTCATATTTTTCACAATAATTTATTTTCAATGAGTTATGTATGTATGTATGTATGTATATGTTAGTGATTCCACAGGCAGCCAAATTAAGATTCAAAAATTTGATTGAATTAGCAGACAAGAAGTGGGATCTTGTTAATTGGGCTGTCATTGTTATCAACTGTCATGCTACAGGCTCATTGAGAGATACATATATACATACATACATACATATATATACATATATATCATGTGGGTGTTTATCAAAAGTAATTACTTGGAGTTTGTTTGAAATTTCCACTCACTGTGCCATTAAATTTCCTGGGAAGATCTCTTTGAAGAAATTTAACAAGTTGAAGATTTCTTTAGAGGGAAATTTTGCAACTTGAGTACCATTTTATGTCTTTTGACAATGACAACCTTCAATTTGAAGGAAATACTTTAATCAATTAACAATTGAGTAATAAATTAATATCGAGGTTTAATAAGTAGGAAAAGTATTTTATCGAATCGAGTATTATTTAGATTTGAGAAAACGAGTGGCTAAGCTTGATATAATAATAAAGCTATTTGGTATAAGATATAGAATATTCTATTTATTTAACAAATAAAATATCTAACGTGATGAGTTTACAATGGTACTTTATTCATAATAGCTAGATTAACATAAAAGTAGTACGTATTGGTATAATTTGCTATACGTATGAAGAAAGATAACCGAACATCTATTCATAAATTATATATATTTTTTAGATTTAAATAATAAGTTACTTGATAATCTATCCAAATTTATCTGTATCTCTTTATGAATAGTTTAGAGCTAAAATTACAAATTCCTTACCTTTTAAGAGAGTTAGTTCATGCTGATTTTCGGGATAATACGGTATAATCAAAGTTTTGTAGTTAGCTCATACAATACAAGTTACTCTATAAAATTAGCTCACAAAAGCGACATCTCAAATAAGATGGTAACACAAAAGGTATCTCCTTTTCAAGTAAGTTAATCAACTCCATCACCAATATATACATACAAGGTGAATAATATAACACCTGGATCAAAAAATTTAGTCCGGAACAATTTAATATTTATAAAAAATAAATAAATTTAAAATAATTTAATTTTAGTTTTTATGAATTTTTTATGAAAATTGAATTTTGGATGCAATTGTAAATAGTTTTGAAAATCAGGACTATATTAGAAATAAGGAAGAATCTATTTGAAAAGAAATCTAAAAAATTAGGGTAAAAATAGAATTTTTAAAATTATTACCACCTAGACCGCCACGCCAGCAGCACAACCAGTCCCCGTGCGCCACATGGTAGACACGAATAAATACGTCCACGCGAGCGATCCACGTACCAGTGCATCCAACAGCACAGATTGCATCCCGACACACAAACTGCCAAGATCAATTTCTTCTTCATACGTGATCGAACGACTGGATTTGATCGTGATGGATGACGGTCTAGATTTGCACACAGATCAGCCTAAAAAGGCTTCGAATGGGACGGTTATCCTTGCTCCATGTTGACACGAATGAACGGTCAGGATCAGAGGAAGAGAAGTTTAAATACCTCTCTTCAGTCGACTCCCAAAATCCGAACCGAAACCCCTAATCGGAGAAGAAGAAAAAGGGCGGTGGGAGGAAAACTCAACCATTTGAGAGAAATCGTCACTACCGCACCGGAGCTACCGCTAACGTCGAAGAGGTAAAATTTTTTCCTTTTCCACTCCAAATTGAATTCCAAATCTACCCACACTTATATAGGAGCTGAAAATCCGATGTGTGAGCCAAAAAATACGAGTAAAGCTCGATCGAGCTACCGCGATCGAAATTTAAAACTCCTCCGATGAACCCCTTTTCGTTTCTACTTCTCTCAATTTTCTGACCATCGTGTTTTTCGTTTCTTTCTAGTGCAGGTTAATAAAAGAAAACCTCCGACCGAAAAAAAAAGAACGGTGGAGCCGCCGCACCGAGAGACTCCTCTACTTGTAAGGTCTCAATTTTCTCATTTTCTGGCCGACAGAGACTCCCTAACCTTGTTTGTTCACAAGTTTCCATGCAAAATTGGTCAAAAGTGGCCAAAAAAAGCAAGATCGAGTAGAATCACCGCCATGGGCAGCAGAGTCGGCACCAGAGCATGGCGGTGCTGTAGTATCAGACCCTAAATTGGCAAAAAAAAGTTTAAAAAACTTATTTTGACCTTCTTTGAGTATTTTTTGATATATAATACGTATTTTTTATTTTTGCAAAAAAATCCAAGAAATCGAGGAATAGTCAGGAGGTGAAGTGAAAAGAATGTTATTTTGAACATCTATATGGGGCAAGAATCTCTCACTCTTTTCTCCCGTTATGGTAAATTAAAGTCTAATAACTAGTAATAGTGTATTCTATTAAAAAAATAAATTTTTTTAAATTAATTAGAGGTCACCAATGGATGCGAAACAGATCAGTGTATATTTGCCATAGTTTTATTGTATATTTTCTCTTATAGTGCTTAAAATGCTTACTGTTACATCGTGTATTTTAATTTATTAATTTTAATTTATTTCTCATTTATTTAGTTTATCAACCTATGTTGTCCTCATCTGTTGATTAATTTGTAATAAATGTCTTGATTATGTCTCCCATAGTCATTATGTAATACCCGGGCCCGAAGAATAACCCGATACAAAATTTTTATTTTTTAAATATTAATTTAAAATAATTGATTAATTTATTTTATTTTTATTTAAGTAGAATTTTGAGAAGAAATGAATTAAGGATGAGATTAAAAAAAATTAAGAAAAATGAATGAAAATTTAGGTTCTGGAGTATATTTGAAAAAAAAAATTAGAAAAAAGATGGTTAAAATACAAATAGAGAAAGTTCGACCACGTAGGACCACTAAGTTAGCAGCCTCAACGAACTGGAGTGCACCGCAGACAAGGCACGCTGACGTCGGTGCCACGCAGGAGGCCATATTGGCGATCTACGTACCCCGCGATCTGAATGCCCAAAATTGATCTTGCGCGCGTAGACGGTCTGGATTCATTTCTCCCTTAGACGCAATCGGACTATCGAGATCAATCGTGATGAACAATACAGATTTATTTCCTCCTCATACTTGATCGGACGGACGAGATCGATCGCAATGGACGGTGCAGATCAATACGAGATGGTTATAAATACTTTACACCACACAAAAACCTAAACGCTAGCTGCCAGCACCTGCTGGAGAAGAAGAACCAAACGTCGGAGAAAGAGGCCAACTGTCGACCGCCAAAAAGGTAAAAAAATTTTTACCTACTCGAAATTAGATTTCAAGTACTCCTGTGGTCATATAGAGGAGAGAGACGACAGGGTAGCAAATTGCAAGTAAAGCCCGGTGACAACCACAGCTAAACCCAAATCTCTTCGATGAGCCCCTTCCTAATTTCGTT